AAAGATATTCTCTAATGTGGTTGACGATCTGGAGACTGCTAAAGGCCCACTGTGTCCAGGACCCTTCCAAACCTTGCTTCCTTACGAAGCTCATTCTTCGTTTGCCGGGGGGTGTGTTTGGGATCATTGTCATGCTGAAAGACCCTCAGTCCACGTTTCATCCTTCAAATGCCTCCTTGCTGTGATGGACAGGAGGTTTGTCGACTCCAAATCTCACGCATACTGCGCCCCATTCAAATATCTTTCCTTTACACGGATCAGTCGTCCTGGTCCCCTTTTGCAGAAAAAGCCCAAAGCGATGATGTTTCCACCCCATGTTTCACAGTAGGTATGGTTGTTCTTTTGGATGCACTCAGCATTCTTTCTCTCCAAACACGTCGAGTTGATTTTACAAAAAGTTCTAATTTTTGGTTCATCTGACCATATGGAGATTTCCTCCAATCCTCTTCTGGATCATCTAAATGCCTCTCTAGCAATTCAGACGGGCCTGGTCATCGTACTGGCTTAAGCAGGGGGGACACGTCTGGCAGCTGTAGGATTTGAGTCCCTGGCGCGTAGTGTGTTAACCTGATGGTAGCCTTTGTTTACTTTGGTCCCAGCTCTCTGGCTAGGTCATTGACTAGGTCCCCGTGTGGTTTCTGGGATTTTTGCTCACCGTTCTTGTGTCATCTTTGAGCCACGGGGTGAGATCTTGCGTGGACCCCAGATCGACGGGAGGTTATCAGTGGTCTTGTATGTCTTCATTTTCTAATAATTGTCCCACAGTTGATTTCTTCACACCAAGCTGCTTACCTATTGCAGATTCAGTCTTCCCAGCCTGGTGCAGGTCTACAATTTTGGTTTCTGGTGTCCTTTGACGCTCTTTTGGTCTTGGCCATAGTGGAGTTTGGAGTGTGACAAGTTTGAGGTTGTGGGACAGGTGTCTTTTATACTGATAACGAGCAAACAGGTGGCCCATTAATACAGTTAACAAGTGGAGGACAAGAGGAGGCTCTTAAGAAGAAGTTACGGTCCTGTGAGAGCCAGAAATCTTGTTTGTTGTGCGAGGTGACCAAATACTTATTTTCCACCGAATTTGCCAAATAAATTCTTTAAAAATCAGACAGTGATTTTCTTTTCTCATTTTGATCTCTCATAGTTGAGGTATACCTAGGATGAAAATTACAGGCCTCTCATCTTTTTAAGTGGGAGAACTTGCACAATTGGTGGCTGACTAAATACTTTTTTTCCCCACTGTACTTCTTAAATTACTGCTAGACATGGGCTGTTCAATTAAAAGTTTAACACCACCTTCATCTATCCAAGGAATAGTGAGGTCAGATGTATCCAGGGGGGAGATCCCTTATGGAACACCTTTCGGAAAGCAAAAAGTTGCCTCATTCATACCATAATTAGACTTTCATATTATACATTTAAGCTTTTTAAGTAAAAATTAATCCTTTAAATCGCAACTATGTAGTGGAAGCAGGAGGCCTACATGTCCAGTGGGCTGGAGAACTCGTGAATTGATTGAATTCCAATTCAAAGTTTTAATTCATTATTGATTTGATTGTAGATAGTTCAGTAAGTATTGCTTACATATGAAACATATACTCAGAGATCTTATGCTGTAAATTGTACAAGGAACCCTATAAGCCGGGGCATTATTAGAATAGTCATGTTCCAAATAGGAATTGAGTCCGAAGCAGTTGCATTTATGTTACACTACATTGCACCTATTAGGGGTGTAACGGTTCACAAACATTTTGGTACCGGTATACTGGTACCGGTGATATTCACATTCGGGTGATGCCTTTTCAAATGAGTGTGCAAGTTTGATGTATTGCCAGCCGCGTAACCAATTTTAGTTGAAAAATGCCGACAAACAGCTTTGGTTCGGTCCACCTGTCTTTGTCCGTCATCCTTGTACGTAACTGCGAAACCAAAATGTTCCCAAACCGGAGACTTCAATGATGCTGGAGGATTTTCGAGCTCAACTTTATCTGCGTTCGCAATTTCAACAGTTCCTCAAATTACTGACTACATTTGAACGCATCCCTCTGACCAGCTCTCATAGTATGCCTCTCGTCCAATGAAATGACTTGCTCGCTCTATGACGCGTTGAACCCAATGTGAGCAAATTACTCTGAATGCTGCGACGCAGCACCTGAGATTACTTCCAAAAAGTTGTTCACGTTCTCAATTTTTTACGTTTAACGTTATATTCGTTCGGTACACACGTGTACCCAACCGAAGGGCCCATACCGAATAATTTCGGTACGGGTACGTGTACCGTTACACTCCTAGCACCTATGTATATCTTCAGTGAAACCAACTGCCATGGGAAACCTGCCAATGCTGCGTTTTAGTGCAGTCCACTTGAGTTATACAAAATAACAGCAGCATGCATGGAAAAAGTTGTAATTTCATATTACCTACCAAATGTTGTTGGGAAAAAAATAAAATAATATTTATATCAATAAAATAAATACATGAAATGACTGAAGACCTACCAGAGCCGACGAGGACATCGGGGTTTCCAAGTGTGATGGTGGCAGTGTAGTCTTCTCCTTTAATCTCTGCATCTCCCTGCCAGTTCACAAACTTGTTTAGCTGCGTCTGAGAAAGAGAAGGAGAACATTATGCTCCAACTGAAGCCAGATTTTTAAGGGTGCTACACATAACTATTCTGAAACATTGTAATTCTGACACTCTTTATGAACTGTTTGAAACTTCACTTTTCTCTCTGTTGGACAAACTTTGAGTCAACCGTAACCCTTGTAAAATATCCCTTTAGTAGAGTTGAATGCCTGTAACTTATTTGCTAAGGTACGAGAAACTGTAATAAACTAAAATTGGGAATGCATATTTTATTGATCTAGCTCCAGTTAACACCACCCACATCGTGAGAAAATAGAAAACAATAATTAAGATAATGTGATGAAGTAAAAAATCAATGCACTGGACTATTTTTTTATTCTAATCGCTTTACCTGGAAGGCCAGTTTGGATCGTATTCTGCTGGCGACCTGGTGGATGATCTGAGCGTTAAGACTGCCGCTGTTGTCCATGTCTCCCACCATGACAGGGAAAAACTGAGCAGAAAGAGCCCGTGTATTACTGTTCATGAAAACATAACATGTAAACACCTTTCATCCAGAAGCTTTACTGCAGCATACCTCTCCTGGACCCATCTGCTTTGTCCCTACGTATGTGGATCCGAATCTGTAGGTGGAGTCTCCGGTGGTGCTCAGCAGCACCGTGTGATTCACCTGGAACACAGGGAGAAGGACACCATTTTTTTTAAAAGATCCTCGACACATTTAAAGCTCACGGTCATTAGTCAGTTTGAAATGCTTAGATACACATTCACCTCTGTAAGAGACAAGAGCTTGTCAGAGGTATTCAGGTTTCATTTTGTTCATATTGTTAGTCAAACAGGTAAGGCTTTATGATTTAAATGATGCGGGAAAACAGTCATCTTAAAGGTGGGGTAGGTAATTTTGGAGAAACCAGCTCGAGTGCGCTAGAATTTGAAAATACACAGCCGGAAAAAATGATTGGTCGTGCTTTTTACAGCGCCACAGATGATTTTTTTAATGTATTTATTGTCAAAGCATTTAATTAGTCATTGGTATCGGGATGTTAAGAGCATTCCATGGAATATAACAAAGTGTATCTGAAATAAATTACATATCCCACCATTAAATAAAATAATTCATTTTAAATTTATGGAATGTTATTTATCCACCACAATAAAAATGTACCTAAATTGTAACATTTCAAATGGGAAATTGTTAAAGTAAATTCCAGAAATTCCCAAAAATATACATATATAAATAATAAATGATTCTTAATGCATTATGTAATGCAGGGGTCTCCAACCTTTTTTAGGATTAGCTAGTTTCAAAAAATAAAACAAGTCGTGAGCTACTTTTACTCCTCTTTTTTTGTTTTTTGAAGTGTATATATTTAGCACATTTTAACATTATTATATGCTTACCTTTAACCTTTGTTTAAACCTCTGTTTGGGTCTATGGGACTCGTTTTCAGTGTTTACTAAAAGAACATTTATTCAATTTAATCATTTCAAACTGCTTTATTTGGGGGGTGGACCTGGTCCACCCCCCAAATAAAGCAGTTTGAAATGATTAAATTGAATAAATGTTCTTTTAGTAAACACTGAAAACGAGTCCCATAGACCCAAACAGAGGTTTNCCCTTTCATCTGAGTGTTGAGAGCTGTATCCATAAATTCATTTTGTGCTCAAAGTGCACCAGATTGATGCATTTAACTTCAACATTTCAAAATAAATCTTCCCGGGGCTGCATGCCCCCGGACCCCCATAAAGAAGGTTAGGTCCACCCCCAAATAAAGCAGGTTAAAATAATTAAATTGCATACATTTTATTTTAGTAAA